TGAGTACATAATGTAGAATATTATACAATGACACTACAAATTCAAGATGTGGAAAAAAGATATTTGCCATTAGGATAGTCTTGTTTAATTTAATCCGCCTACAGTAAATAGCAGTAAAATATATAATAATAGCTCCTAGTGAACTTTGCAAATGACTGAATGCACGAATATTACTGAAATGAAATGCATATTCAGGAAGAAGCACACTGTGTACTTCCCGATCTTAAATTGGCTGATAATTGTAATTGGACACCAGTAGGTTGCATAATTGTTTGCCTGTCCCAGCCCATTTTCATCTGGAAAATCAACGCGATGACTGCCAGTAACATGAAACCCGTCGAGTGCCGGCTAGAAAGGAGCTCTCACTCATCCGACTCCCGCACCATCGCGATCGGAGTCCCATAAGGAACCCCTTCCGAGCTGCATAGTGGGCACAGCCCCCAGAAATCCCCATCAATTGTTCGGCCATAGGAGGACACGCACAGGCCAAACGAATCCCCCGGGGATACATCTTCGATACTATGCAAATGCCGAGAGTTCTGTTTTAGTTATGTGCAAATTTATTGTTTATAAAAAGCACGGCAGTGGGAACAAAGGCAGAGGAAGAGCGATTGCTGCCATTGTTTTTGCTTCTTGTGTATTTATTTATTTATTTATTTTTGGTGGTGTTTGGGGAGTTTTTGCTGGCCGGGCGCTCTGCGATCTGCTCTATCGCCAACTGGTTTTGGCTACTCGCACGCACACAGCCAGCAGGAAAGCCCAAGCCCAAGCCCAAACCCAAGCGAGCCGAGATGCAGCAGCGATCACATAATTCGTGCTGCTGCCTCATCATTCTTGTGCTTTTCCAAGCCGCGTCGAGGATCGGGCTCCAAGGAGCGGGGCAGCCCGCCCCCCGCCCCCCGCCGGAGCAAGACGTTCTGCCAAGTTTATTTTTATCAGCGGCGGCAGCAGCAGCATTTTGCTGCTGTTGCATGATGGGTGCACGGGGAGAAATTGCAAATGCTCCATTTGCATTTAAAGTGCTTGGCTTGGGCACTTAAGTTGCTTGCGATCCATCGGAACCATAACAGTTACCACTAGCCGACATAATCCAAAATACCGGAATGTAATGTGAGGAGAAGATACTCGGAACCCGCGAGTTTTGTGGCATATGAATAAATTGCTTACTCAGGGAAGTTACAGTATGTAACAGGTATATAATATAAGGAATATACCTTCCTGATCAGGGTCACTAGCCGAGTCGATCCGGCCATGTCCGTAAGTCTGTCCGTATCACTGTCGAGGTCTCAGGAACTATAAAAGGAACTCAGGAACTGGCAAGTGGAGACTAAGCATGCAGTTTCCAGAGATATAGTTTGTTTGTTTAAGTTTGATTACTGATGTTGCCACGTCCACTATCATACATCGATATGCTAGAAAAACTGGAAACTGGAGTATAGCGTTCTCTCTTTTATTTTATATGGTATTGCTATGAAAATTACTTATTTTACTAAATATTATATTTTTAAATATTTATTAAAGTTTTGAGATTGGTTATTACAGTAATCGGTACCCAGTAGCAGTTATAATTAGTCATAGCACTTCTTCCGCTAATATTAATAATACATTTTGTAGATAATGTGCTTAGTTTCTTATTATTGTACTAATAGAATCGCAAGCCAACTCACTTATAAACGAGGTAATATTTAGCAAAAAAAAAAACAAAAGTGCCATCAAAGGGCTTGCCAACTAGCACTGCTGAACTGGGAAGTGCAGTGCGCTTCTTTCGCGGCCCGATTTCGCTCAGTGTGCCGCTCGATCTCTTTTCCGATCCCCGGCAGCCGTGTGTATCTGCAGAGGCAAGAGTCGCTGCCACAGAGCGTTGCGGCCCGGCATCTCACGATCTTTAACATGTTTTGTCTCGATCAGTGAAATCATTCAATCAGAACGGTCAGCACCGCTCCTCGGTCGTTGCCAGGAGACAGGACACACTCGCACACGCACACACTCACACACTCAGAGGCAGCTCACTGCTGCACTGGTGGTTGTAAATTATATAAGGTTAAGCCGAATCTGGTTTTGTGCTTTTAAGGCCGCCAACGGTCCCCCAGCCGCCGCCGATTGAAAGTGTTTGGAGCGCAGCGTTTTGTGCCTTGTAATGCTGCCATCGGCTGCTCGATTCCCGGCCTTATATCTATATCGTAATTATGCAAGATCAGCGTGCCAAAGGAGCCCATCAGTCAAAGCCGCGGCGGCCACAATAACCCACGGAAGCTGCCAATTTATGACACCCGAAGAGCAGTCTTCTGGCCCGTTTTCGGGCGGAGTTCGCCGGCCCGGGTCCATAAAGCATGTTTTTAAAATTCCATTAAAATTTATTAGCATTTCACACAAAACGCGCATAAATAAGCCCCTCGACTTTCGGGACTTTTGCTAAATCACCAGAATCGGGAGAACCTGGTGAAGGCAAAAAAGTGGTAAGAAATCTCTTTTGGGCTCTTTGGCCCTCTCCTGAATTTCGTAAGTTTGTGATGCCGTTAATTGGAATATGGGAGGGGGGTGGTTGTGGTGGTAACTGCAAACCCGATAAACAATTTATGCGCAATGCTGTTTGTTTTCCCCGCTGCTCTTTGTTTATGGACGCATTATCTAAACAAATACGAAAATAACTCATTAAATGCAAAGGCCATAAAACCTGAACATTTCGGTTCGTGTTCGTAAACGAGAAATTAGAGTTAATGCAATCCTGATCTCAGGGCCCCCTCCCCAACCCCCAGCCCCCAGCCCCACCCCCTTGCCATTCAGCACTGGGTCCAAGCATGCATGTAAATAATTTGACAGCAGCGTAAACCCCAAGGCGGCCACTCGAGGCGAGAGGTGGGCCAAGCAACAACAAGTGCAGGAGGCGAGAGCAACAAAGCCCCAAGCCCCAAGTGCGCCGGAGAGTCGGGGCAGCGGAGAGAGCGGCGCGCTGGAGGAAGAGATCTGGCGAGAACGGGACCGAATACGGAATGGCCGAGTGTTCCCAGGGGGGCGAGCTGCTGAAGCTGTTCCCAGTATTACCAGGTGCTCGGGTTAAGAACCTAATCCACCTTAAGGTTCCTTTCTTTCTTCCTTTATGCACTATCCACTTACAGTGAGCACTCACACTGTGATCTGCGGCTTGCTTTGGTTACAGAGAAATAAACAAATCTAAGCCATCGGAAACTTAAGCTTAGCTGGTAATATTACAGTAAGAAGTAGATTAATTTATTTATTTTCTGTCTCGAATCAACTTTAATTTTGTTGTAGCCACTGATGATCCCTAATATTAATATCCCTAACCTGAAATACTAAAGCTACTGAAATAAAAGCGCCCTATATCGTTGAATTGGAGTTCGTTTGTAAAGGGCTTTTTAATTTCCAAGGGATTTGAGAGGGTATTCAAAGGCTGGTCTGCTGATTTTCTCTGGCGCTGCTTGTAATGCAAAGCGCATCAGGCGCCGTCGCAGTCAACGTCGTTCTTGGCGTGGCTTTGTCTCGATTCCTGGCCAACTCGCGGCTATAAATGACAGGTGGCTGGGCCATTTCACTTTTAGTCTCGAGGTGTCGACGCAGGCGCAATGAACCATTGGCTAAACAGTGAGCACCCGAAGCAAAGAACCCTAGAAGCCCAGCTGAATACTAATCCACTTCAATTCTTTCAGTCATATTTCTTGGGGTGTGGATCTCCGCACCTGGGGGCCTGGGAAACACGATCAAGGAGCGGAACCTCTTCGCCACCGAGCTCTTCCAAACCCTGGCCACAGATCGCCAGGATGAGAACGTAATCATCTCGCCGGTTTCCATCCAGCTGGCGCTCGGATTGGCTTACTACGGAGCTGAGGGCAGGACCGCCGCGGAACTGCAGAAGACCCTGCACGCCTCCGCCAAGGAGAGCAAGGATGGGCTGGCCGAGAGCTACCACAACCTGCTGCACTCCTACATCAAGTCCAAGACCGTGCTGGAGATCGCCAACAAGGTGTACACCCGGGAAAATCTCACGGTGTCGAGCCACTTCCGTGAGGTGGCCCAGAAGTACTTCGACTCCGAGGTCGAACCCATGAACTTCAGTCGCGAAACAGAGGCCGTGGAGCGGATCAACCGCTGGGTGAAGCAGCAGACGCAGAACAAGATCGAACGGGTGGTGGACAGCCTGGAGCCGGATACCAATGTGGCCCTGGTCAACGCCATCTACTTCAAGGCTCGCTGGGCACGACCCTTCAACGACGAGGACACCCGGAACCGGGAGTTCTGGCTGAGCGAGAGCCAGTCCATCCAGGTGCCCACCATGTTCGCCGACAACTGGTACTACTACGCCGACTACCCGGAACTCGACGCCAAGGCCATCGAACTCTTCTTCGAGAACATCAACCTGACCATGTGGTTCATCCTGCCCAACCAACGATCCGGACTGCAGGCCCTGGAGCAGAAGCTCAAGGGCGTCGACTTCAACCTTCTCGAAGATCGCTGGCAGTGGCAGAGTGTGTCCGTCTACCTGCCCAAGTTCAAATTCGAGTTCGACACGGACCTCCGACCCACGCTGCACAAGGTGAGGAGGGTCCACATAATGATATTCCAGGGGGAGATAAGATCTAAGCGGCGGGAAATAGGGTTATAAACTATTCGTGGGTCTGTCGGGTATCAGACCGTGCACTATTGGTATCTAATGAGGGGGGGTTTTTTTTTGAAAACTTTTCTTTCAGATGGGAATCAGTGCCATGTTCTCGGATGCAGCCGACTTCAGCAACATTTTCCAGGACTCGCCCATCGGCACTCGGATCACAAAGGTGCAGCACAAGACCTTCATCGATGTGAACGAGATCGGATGTGAGGCGGCTGGAGCTAGTTGTAAGTCTTATTGGTTCCCGAAGTTTCCAGCAGACACACTTATATTTCGGGTCTTCTAGATGCTGCCGGGGTGCCCATGTCCCTGCCCCTGGACCCCAAGACTTTCGTGGCCGACCATCCATTTGCGTTCATCATTCGCGATAAGCACGCTGTCTATTTCACCGGACACATTGTGAAGTTTTAATCAGCACATCGTCATACATTTCACTAGATTAAGCAGCTAAAATGTAATCATTGCATCAATAAATAAACGCGTACAGCCTGCGTCAGAATTCAAAAGTCCATAACTTCGCACTTGAATCCCCGAACTGGCTTGCACTTGCCCTCGCTTACCACCAGAAACACTGAAAGAAACTCGAGTTAAAGGGTATAATTTCCATTCGGTGCCATTCGGCTATAATCCTCACGGTGCTTGTGGCGCTGTTGGCGTGCACAATTGAAGACCAGCAAGGAGCAGTACTCTATGTCCAAGTAGCAGCCGTTGATGAAGGCGCAGACCAACTTGCCCCTGAATTCGTCCGGACAGGCGACGCAGTGGGACTGAACTTCCTGGGCCTGGGCTGGAGCTCCTGGCAGATCGGCTAAAACAGCTACTGCCACGACCAAGAACGCTGCCAAAGGGTTTTTCATTTCACTATCGAGCGATTTGAAGAGCTATGGAAGTGGGAATGAGTACACCTTTGGAAACATTTGGAATTCTCTCCTATTGATGGGCGAACCGAATTCATTATGCGGGGTAAAAATCCAATTATGGGTGTATTCGGGAATCAGATATGCCAGTCACAGAAAACCTGTTAAGTACAGGCGATATCTCATAACATAAACTGCAACTTGGTGGTCTGTCAGCGCTTAAGCCAAAAATAAACACTGCAGAACGGTACACATAAAACCGAGAAGCGTCGAAGACAATTGCAATATTTAACTCGAAAACGACAAACAGAACGTGCGACCCAAAATTAGCCAGCAAGAGCTGGAGAAAATACCCGAATACAATTAACGACAACTGGATGCACTGCAGCCCCTTACCTCTTATCTTTGTTTCTTGCTTATAATGGGGAAATGGGCCGTACACTCAAAACTTTTTCGGGCTCCGTACTTATGGCTCCATTTCAAATACTCAGCATACATTCCAATTCAAATCATCTCGAGGTACAATCTCGAAGATCGGTTATCCCTAGGATACCGAAAGTATATATATTCCTGAGGGAACAGGATACGTATAACAACATATTTAAAGGAGCCTGCACATGATCGCATGACTACTGCCGGATGCCAGGATCTGGGATTAGCTAAATGAACTGTCAGTTTTGGGCGGTGAAACTAGTTTCCACTGCCCTCGAGGGGGAAGGGGCGGCACTTGTGGCATTTGCCCAAAGGCGCATGCACCATGCACAATCCACCGTGCACCATGCACCTGCTGCAATTCTTCCCGCCCGGGATGGGCTCTTTAGAATTCCACTCACAAGGCGCAGAAACAAAGAAACTTGTCGGGGAACCGAGCATTCTAACAAAGGGACGAGCAGTCGCGAAGTTTTGGGAGGGAGCGCCGCGGCCACTGCAATTGCATTGCGGAGTGATATCGGCCCCATCTGTGCCCACTATTTCCGAGATAACCGGTATTTGGCACGAGAGAGCCCCCAGCGCGCGAGAGAGCGAGAGGAGTGAGAGCGCAGGCAGAGGAGTTCGGCGTTTTTGGAGTTCGTCTTTGGGGCCGATCGACAATGCTTTCAGTCTGCTGCGCGCCTCGCACCAACATCGAACTCGCGGAAGTGCGCGTGCGCGAACGAAACGCTCGAGCCGAACGAAACCGAAACGGAACGGAACGGAAAGGAACGTCAGGGAACGCGCGGAAACGGAACGGATCAGCGACGTCCCCCGCGTTTTTGGCTTTTTTGCGTTTTTGCGCTTATCAAGTGCCGGGAATCGGTGAACGGGAGTCCAGAAATCGGGCAGCTGTCGCGTGCAGCGGCCAGGAAAAGGAGTTTGCTGAAAATAATGAAATGCCTGCCGTCGGTGGCTGCAGTGTGGCTCCCAGTTTTTCTTGAGCGGCCGGGAAATGTGCATCAATTATTTTAAACGGCCAGCCGCCAGCCCCTCACCCAACCCCTGCGGAGTGTCCCCCAGCCCGAGCACATGCATAAATACAATTAGGCCGCAAGATCGGGGCTGCGCCATTTGGTGGAGCCAAAGCTAATTCGGTGCGCGAACCAGTTTCTGTTTATCGACAGGCACCCGCGAATTTTTTCACGAACGCGCCAACAAATTTATAATAAATACGCCTAAGCTCAAATTCTTGTCAGCTGGCTCGGCTTTTGTTGATTTATGTGCGCGATTAAAGGAAACAACGTCGCGCAGTCGACCGAGAAACCTAAGAATAAGATAATAAATATAGGTAATGCCAAAAGGCAACTCCGCCGCCCCCAGTGTCACCAGTGAAATACCAGTGAAATACCTGTGAATGCCAATCAAGCGACGAAGAAACCGAAAAGACATCAGTCCATAGAACAGCAGTCATAAGAACTCCGGATACACTCTCCGCTCGGCAAACATGGATACCCCAAATCAAATGCCCGTTGAACTAGAAAGGTAAGTGGCAGGTCGGACTAAACGAACCTAAGATGCAACCTTAAAGAACCTCAAATAAGAAACTGGAATGTTCAATCCAGTTTCATACAATGATGTTCATTGTTGGGAGTGAGATAGGTATTTTGTTCAGAGTGTAACATTAATTTACTCAATTTGCATGTTTTTAATTGGAAGTCTTAACAAAATGATCCGCATCTGCGCTTTTGTTTAGACATAGGCGTAGTTCGCAATGTGCCCGATAAAGGCGATTGAGTCCTTGTACTTGATGGCGAACACGAACGGATGATCTGCCTCGAACTTCTTGGAGCGCGAGAAGAGTCCCTTTAGCACTGTATTTCGGGGAATAGGTGGTCACTTTAGTGGGATCTGCTTGGTGCATCTAGGTGTCTACTTACATCCAGTTTCCAGGGGTTGCTCCAGGCCCGCTTCCGTGACCTCCACATTGGCCTTGTGCTCCACTGCGTTGATGAAATGGCTAACAAACATGCGGTACATGTTGCCAAAGTCTCCATCCCTCGAGAACATTGTGTGGACACCCAGCTAGTTGACGAAAGTTGAAGAGTTAGTTTAAGAATATGATAGTCTTCAAAGAATCACAATTCATCGAGTGTCTATCGCTTTAATCGATTCCTTCTCACCTTCTTGAATGGTCCCTCCAAGCCCAAGCCAAAGGTGACGCTAAACTTGGGCAGCAACACCTCTACCTTGTGCTGGCTCATCGCTCCGATCTCGACCAGCAGATTCTTGCCGGACAGCGACTGCTGCAGGGATCTCAGGCCATCCTTGCGATTGGGCAGGAGCAGTAGCATGGAGAAGTCGGGGTTCTGGTAGGGCAGCTCCACCACCTTGGCGTCCAGGGAGTTGACCTCGGCGTAGTTGAAGTTCTGCAGCGTCCACATGGTGTCCACCTTCACGGACTGCCCGCTTCCGGTGCGGAAGGAGCGCTTCTCGGTCTTGTCCAGCCGGAAGGACTTCTGCCAGGCGGCGGAGTAGGAAACCCCGTTCACGATCACTCCCTCGGTGCGATCATTCAGCAGCTCGGGGCGGAGGATGTCAGTGATCTTGCCGTTGGTCTTGGTGGCCACCGCCCGGTTAATGCCGTCCGCCGTGCGCTTGTTGTAGGGCGGGTGGAAGTCCAGCTTGTCGATGTTCGAGTCGAACTGGCGCTGGGCCACGTCCCGGAAGGAGCCCTTGAACTCCAGGTTCTCGTTGATGTAGATGTTGTTGGCCAGCCGGAAATTGTTGTCACGGATCAGGGCCTGCTGGTGGCTACCGCTGCGCTGGCTCACCGCATCCGCATCCCCTGGACCTAGGCGCAGTCCCTGCTGCAACTCCGATGCCGTCTGACCCTTGGCCCCCACGAAGGCCAGCGCCATGGAGCTCTGTATGGTCGCTGGCGATATGACCACATTTTCGTTCAGGTGATCTGCGCCCACGGCGTTGTAGAGATCGGCAGCCAGCAAATTGCGATCCGCAGCCGCGTCGTAACCAATGGTCTTGGACTGCGACACTGTCGCGAGGAGAACTAAAGGAATCGATGCGAAACATGGCATTAGTCGCAATTTGTTTGGAGGCTCCGCCCCGCCGGCTGCGGCACACTGGGAGAAAATATAGCTACACAATTTGCCACATTAAGTTTACGTCAACAGGAGTGATAACTGTTTATAAATATTTGTCACTTTTGCACTCGCTTCTTGATAAAATCCAGCTCCTAATTTTCCCTTATCTCCAAAATAAAAACTCTGACACAAGTATTACGTCACGTTTAAGCCGAAAATCAATGGCATATAGAAGTAATATATTCCTCAAGTCAATAGAACACCAATTCCTTTGAGAGGAAGGCCATTAAGTGGAAGTAAATTCGTGCACGGATTTCTTACAGTGCACCAAGCAGATCGCTTAATTGGGGCTTACGTAATAGGCAGCTGATGATGACAGCCATGGTCGTCACATAAATTGTTGATGGGCGTCTCCTGCTCCGCTGATTCGCACTTGAGCTCGTCGGAATGTGAACTGAAATCTCGGCGATCGCCGAGCGCCTCTGGAGGCTGATCCAAGTCGGATTCAGATGCGAAACTCAACTCTCGGGCCCCGAAAACAAATGCCGATCAAGTGTGTTTACAAATCGTTTGTCACCTTTGGCTGGCCACGGGTGATTTTGTTTATTTCGCGGAGATTTAATTAGGGCTGATAAGGCGATAGCCCGGCTTGGGCTGGCATTGGGCATTGGAATCGAGAATTATATATGCCCAGAAAGACTCAGATGTCAACGATGTGGCCGGACAGCAGCAGCGCTTTGTCGTTTCCAATGGCGTAGAAGAAGGGGTGATTAATGACCAGGGGCAGGGCTCGTCGGAACAGATCCCCGAAGGCTAGAAGAACAGCTGGTTACGGGCCTTCTTGGGCAGAGATTGGCGTGATCACTTACAGAAGGAGTCGTCGGCGTGGCCGCCTTCTTCCTGCAGCTCCAGGAGGCCACTCTGCACCACTGCTCCCAAGGGCGGCGCCGAGCTGGCCACGATGGAGCTGAAGACCTCGCTCAGCTGGACCTCCGTTGTGAATAGTTTCGCCAGTCCCAGCTGCAAGGGAAACCATGTAGAGCATTTTGAATCAAAGGAAAAAGTCCTATGACTACCATATTTGGCGATCGAATATCACATATTTTGTTTCTATTAAAATTGTTGATATTGGACGCACTTAGGACTTTTTCTGGCTTGTTTAATAGCGAGTTGAGAATCCACTTGACTAAAATGGTGTTCCTTATTTGTCGATGAACTCTTCGGACTAAAATATACCGCGTTCTATAGGTAGACGTATGATTTGAATGTGTACATTGCCAAGTTTGCAGCTATCAGGAGTTCAAAGAGAAGCTGTAACAGTTGTTAACTCACCTCCTCGAGCACCCGCTTCAGGTCGGACTGGACGAGCACCCTGAGCTTGGGCAGGGTGAGGGCCACCTTGCGCTCCTCGAGCTGGGACCGCAGCTGGTGGAGATCGGACTGCGCCAGCTTCCTCTCCAGTTGGGCCAGGCCGTCCGCCCGATTTGGGAACACAATGAGCATGCTCAGGTCTGCAGTGGCGAAGGGCACCTCTATGAGCTGGGCGTCCAGGGCGGGCACTTCAGCGTACCTGTAGCGGTGCTGTCCGAACATGGCGTCCACCAGCCGCGGGCGATTTCCCCCGGCAAAGAAGTTGATGCTCCGCGTCTCGGTGGGATCGAAGGCCCAGGACCAAGGCGCCCGGAAGGTAACTCCCGAGACGTGTAAAAAGGGCGTGTTGTGCTCGGCCAAGGTCTCGAGTTGGGGGGCACTGACCAGCTCCCCCAGGCTAAAGTTGCTGCGGCTGAGGAAGGCGTAGTTGATATCCTGGGCCGCGTTCGACGCACTTTCCCAGGACAAGCGATGGCAACCGACTCCCATGCGCGCAGCCAACGACTCGAACTCCTCGCGGAAGTTGAAGGTGAAGCGCTGCTGGGCGTAGAGGTCACTCAGCAATCTTAGGCGGCAGCCAATGGCTGCCGATTGCTTGAGCTCCGACAAAAGGGTCTCGAAGTCCTGCACCGCCAGCTTCGGGTGACTGGCGTGGGTCAGCTCCAGCGCCTGGCGGAGTTGGCTACCATGCTCCGAGGAACTTTTCGCATACAGCAGGCTAAGCGCCGCCTGAACGAGCAAGGGGGAAACCAGCACATTCGCATCTGGCTGGGCTAGTCCCAACTTGGTAGTTAGACGTAGGCCAAAGCGGTGATTCGAGGCACTGGCTTGCGATCTGCCCGAGAGCTCTCCCTCGACTGGGAACGGTAAAGCTATAGCCAGGCCAACTAGCAGGCCGGAAAGTAATCGCCAGTGGATCATGTTTTGGGAAATGCCGAGCTTCGACTAATGCTAATGTTAATGATCCAGTGGCTAACACGCAACTAGGCTACGCGCTCATTCATGGAAATTCTAATTATATTGAGACATTGAGGTCATGATTGGAGAGGTCTAGGCAAAGTCAGAGCTGGGCATTGAAGGTCTCTGGAGATACGGAACGATTCGAGAGGCGGAGAGCTCAAAAATTCTCTGAGAGATTCACTGGGAGCGGCAGCAAGCGATTCTATCCAGTTTTCATTTCGCGCTTGGGCAAATTTCAAGTTCGGATGCTAACTCACTCTCAATTCGACACTGCCACACAAAGCTGCAAGAAGTTTGATTGCCTCCTTATGGAAGAACGTATTACACATTTTAATGGTAATGAGAAAATATGTTTACCCAAGGAAAACATATATACTTCACTTCGCTGCACTACACTTGCTTATTTTTGTAGTATAGTAATAATATAGTTTGAGTAGAAGAAATGGTCTTGAACTATGATGCAATTTACACAGGGATGCCGCTCTGCTCCAACAGATGGCGCATGTTATCGAAATATGCATTCGTTTACCAATAGAACCCCACAGAATGAGGCGCAGTTTTGTTGAGTGTATGCAACCTTGAGTGAGAGACATTAATTATGCCCAGCTTTCAGCGGGTATTTCAATTACTCATCCGGCAGTCTCAGTCTTAAAGTTCTCAGCCCCGCTGCTCCCCCGAAATGGTTTGCCCTGCACTCTGTCCTCGGCGATCTCAAGTCAGATCTGGTGCGCATAAGGAAGTTTCCCTCATTGTGAAAAATGATTGAGAAATCCGCCTTTGATTTATGGCCGTGGGTGCGGGGAAAGGAGGGCAGGAGGAGGGCTGCGGCCCCAAACAGGTTTGCCAACTTACAGAAGTGGGCAAAAACCATTCGCTGGAAATCCAGAATAGCCAGCAGCCCCGGCAAACAACTGGGAAAAGACACAAGTTGCTGCTGCTGCTGCTGCTACTGCTGCGGATCGCCGGGTGAGTGGGAATTGCATATTAGTGGGTCTTATCAGCGCGACGAGGTTATCGCAGTTCAGTTTTCATAAATACAGCGTTATACTTTATTATTCTTTTCACAAATGCAGCGGGCAAGACTTTACTCGAAAATGGAATCCTAGTTCCTGTAAAAGTCAAAATTGGGTTTGTTTTTGACGCTCATGGGTGTGGGATACTCCACGTGACCTATGAACAGAACTGAGGTGGGTGTGCGGATGGCGAATACGAATGGCCGGTTGGCGATGAACTCCTTGGGCTTTGGAGGCAGCGAAAGAGGCACAAACTTGGCATCTGGAAGAGAGATTGGGAGGTAATTAATCACAGGATTCGGTGGTTGATGCTTTTCGCAACTTACAGGAAGCTGCCGAGGCCTCTGTGCCCGCCTCGCCCACATTGATGTAGGCCTTCTGCAGGATCTTGCTCACGCGCACCGGCTGATCCAGCAACTTGGTCACCTGCGAGTTGGGCGTGAACATCTGCTGGACTCCCAGGTCTTTTAGGGGCTGGGTCATGTCCTGCTCGAACTCGAACTGGAACTTGGGCAGGTGCACAGCGACCGACTGGCGGCGCAGGCTGTGGGCGACGCGGTTGAGATCGAATTCCGGCCGGGACAGCTGCTGCATCATTTTGGCTAGTCCGTTGGTCTGATTGGGAAGCAGGATCAGCATGCTGGCGGCGCTGTCCTTGTAGGCCAGCTCCAAGACGGTAGCGCCCAGCTCGGGCAGCTCGGCCAGGCCGTACACATCGTCGTTGTACATCATGGCCACCTGGGAAGTCTTGCCGTTGGAGTGGTGGAAGTCGGAGGGTGCAGTGTCCATGATGGCGAATTCGTGCTCCCAGCGACTCTTGAAGTACACAGCGTTCACGAGAAGCGCCTGCGTCTGTGGGTCAATGTCGCCCGAGGTCACCAGCTCCCGGATCTTGCTCCGCGTCTGGTCCATCACCCAGGCGTTGATCCTGGCCGACGTGTCCTTGCCGTTCTGCATGTCGACGGCCTCCGTGCCGGCGCTGAAATAGAACTTTGCGTAGGCATCGTAGCTGGGGTTGACGCCACCCAGCTCCTGGTTGTAGTACACCTTCGTGGCCAGGGTCAGATCGGCGCCCTCCAAATGCATCCTGTACTTGATCACGCTCTCGAAGTCCTGGGCAACAGCCATGGCATTCTTGCTAAACTCCCCTGCCTTCTGCAGTTCCCGGAACGTCTTTCCGTCCGAGGCCCCGTAGATCAGGGCCAGCAGGGCGTGGACGGAGAAGGGCGAGAGCACCACGTTCTGCTGACCCTGCGACTTGATGATCTGGTCAAAGAGCTGGCCGCTGAAGCGATCCATGTAGCTGAAGACGGGCGGCGGACGAGTGGGCGGCGGGTTGGCCGGCTCATGTTTGGTGAGGTCCACCATCACCACGTCGCTTGTGGGCTCCTTAGTGTACTGATTTGTGCCCTGGGAACGGAGGCCCAGCTCCGGTCTGGGGTTACGCGGCAGTTGCTGTTGTTGCTGCTGTAGCGGTTGTTGGTGCCGTTGCCAGGCACTGAACTCCTGGGCAAAGGAGTGAGCAGCCAGGAGGCTGATAGTCAGCAGGAGCAGGAGCGCTGTAGGAATATGAAAACAATATAGTGCGATTCTCGAGTGGCTTTTCCACAACTCACTGGTTTTGCTCGCCATGTTTCTTATCTGTTATTTCTCGCTGGAAAGCTTCTGAATGAATTTTTCTTCCGATACGCCGATCAGCTCGATTTCAGCGGCGCTACAAAACTGATCGTTGCGAAGCTGATCTCCAGCAGCTGAGCAGATCCGAGCTATACGGCGATTGGCAGAGAGAACCGGTCCAGGAACCATATCTGCTATGCTACGGAGAAGCATTCGATTATCACATCGAAGCGAGTTCTGTGGAACTGACTCTCCTGCGCAGGGAAGCCTCTCTTTTCGAATGGGAAAAGCCCGGTCACGATTACAATTACACAAAGGAAAACACACAATCTGTAATATGTACGTGGAATATGGCGAAGCTTCTGTTTTTAGACCGCGATTGGCGAGGGTTGCCGTTCCAGCTGCCATTCCCGAGCCAAGGATATGACTCACCAGCGCTGGGGATTCGGCGAAGGAAACCTGTTGAGTTTTCCGTCTATTTATAGGTGCATCTACTCATATCTCCCGCATTTCCTGCTGACATTTCCATGCTGCCGTCCATTAAATAACTTTTCCGTTTTACATAACGGACCCATAAACACGGCGAGAACTAATTAAGTATTCCCCGGTGGCCGGAGGAGCCCCCGATCTCCCGGATAAGACCCCACAGCCTCGGATTCCCTGCATGCCTAATTATGTAAAGCCGCACACGAAATGCATTTCATATCAGCACTTTTCCCCCAGCCCCACGCGGTTCTTCCCCAATCCGGTTTACGGTGACCTAATTGCAGGCGGCCGAATGTGTAAACATAATTTACTCCAATTAGAGTGCGCTGCCACGCCCCTGCTCCACCCGCCCACTGGAAACTGGGGCACGACGGAGTGCATCGCTGATATGACTACGAGTGCGAGTGCCGGGCAAGAATGCAATCGATAAGAGGAGGCGAAGTGCTGGGGGAGCAGCTTGCTTAATTGCGCTGCACCAGGTGGGCTCGGTTCGGCTCATTCCGCTGGCTCTCAGCCCTCCCGCGTGTGTTTGTTCCGGCTGATATGACGTCCAGTGTTTTGCCCGCTCAAACAAAGGCTGGCCTCCGACTTATCGCAGGGTTACGGAGGTGTATGCACCCTCCACTCCGATTGATCTAGTCGTGTAAGTGGCAGTAGTCTTCGATCGCATTTAGGGGAATTTCCATGGAACCACTTGGGCTTGTCAACGGGAGAGTTTTATCAAGACAATCTCAGGCGATAACAATCAGCACAGGCATCAAGAAATCATATTAAATAACAAATGTATGCATTTACACATTGGTACATACTAAGCACTTTGCCATTTGTACAAGTATGTGCATTTATTGTATGAATTTGAATTTTGCTTTGAGATTTAATAGTAAGAAATCATACGTTCCAGACCTATCAAAATTCTATAGATTAGGCATTACCAAGAAAGCTATATAAAAGCTATAAGTTAAATGTTAATGTTTCTGATTCCTCATATGGGCTTTTCCATATTCCTAATATAAACAAAGATTTATATAAGTAATCTTTATGCTTTTGAGCCGGACTTTCTCTACATCTGATTTAATTTCAAAAAGAATTCTTAAAATAAAATCGAACTATTTTGACTGCATGTGAAATTCCATGTGATCCTCTTAAGAGCAACTAAAAGCAACAGTGCCAGTGTTTCTGAATCTATTCCTCCCAATTTGCTTCAATTACCTGGCCAATTACCCAGATACCCCGCACCATGGACCCTGAACCGCCGCTGGTGACAGAAACCGCATGGACATATTGCAAGTTGTCGCCGGGTAGATGCCTCAATTAGTGGCAGCATGTTGCTGGTGCACCACGCCGCGGGAACAGCTCGTCGTTAATTGGGGAGCCGCCGGAGAGTCAGGTGGGCATGGGTGGGGGTGGTATGCCAGGGGATGCCAGGGGATGCAGTGCATCGGAGGTGGAAAATGAGAAGTGATTGTAGTCCGTGGGCGCTTACACCAAAACCGCATTAAGGCGCGCGTTGGCCGCGCGATTTGTCCGATTTGCATATAATGCATATATTATGGCGAATTAATCATAATCCGCCGCGTGGCTATCACAATATTTGCACGTGCAATTTGCATGCGAGTTGCTCTGCATCTGGCGGCAAGTTGCTAACGAACTGAGCGAAAGGCTAAGAATCGGCATCCGGGGCAGCATCAATTAAAGCGACATAAAGGAAGCTTGTAATTTCCATGTGGCCTAACCACAGTCGGCTTTCCTTTTTCTGGCATCGCCTTCCCTGCCTTTTCCAGCACAGCTCGTGCATTTAGCGTTTATAGAAATTGCCAGCCCACAAACTCCCCCTTCCTTGTTTATAGCTGCAGTGCACTCGAAGAAATGCTGGCATACTCCTGCCTACCTCCTTCATTTAGCGATGTTTGTATTTATATTACCTCCCAGATAAATGTCTTGAGATGTAGCTGGTTTGCTCAGCCACTCGTCCCTGCAATGCATGACATCTAAAGGACTTTGTCGTTCCATAAAGCAGTGCCTCTTCTTTTCTCTGTACCGCTGAGGAATGGACATCCGTGGCTGGAGTTCAGGGGCGGGGTAATCGCAGTTTAAATTTGTACTTCGTGATGCAATCATTCTGAATGTCAGAGAGACCAGTGCCGGTTCTCCTGCCTGCTCCTCCACCAGCCATTCTTATGTTAGGCGCCATAATGGGCTAACACACACACACACACACGCCGCGGGCTGGGTAGCACACACACCAACCCACACTACACCCACACCCACACTGGCAGAAAGTTGAGGTCAGCAGCCTGCAGTTGGTTTGGGCCATTGTTGGGTCTCCTTTTTTGGGTTGGGCCTGCACTCTGCGTGTTGGCTATTGATCTAAATTTTGTGCTTGCGAATTTGTGGCTCTTTTTCGGCGGATTTTGCGACCGCTTATCGCTGGCATTCCGCTGGCTCTGGAATTGGCATTAGCATTCGATTCCCGTTCGCAGGCCAATTGCTGTAATTTCCTTATGTATTTATGCCCGGCTAATGAGACGAAATCTGGCTTCCCGATCTTGGCTGGCGGCCCATGGACCGCTGTTAAAATTGTAATCAGTTAACGCTTAATTGGGGTCGCACCACGCCCCTTCTTGCTGGTCTGGCAATGGGAATACAATGGGCATTGGGGAATCAGCAACACAGATCTGCCAGTAGAACCGCTAAGCTAACTGCTAGACCAGCCAGCCGCTATGGCATTTTGTTTAATTCGATGTTTTTACTACTTGACTTGCCAATACATCAGAAGCGGGCTGAGGAAAACCAGCGGAACCCTTTCATTAGAGGAAAAACTAAAGCGAACATCGCCAGCGAGACAATAATGATGAATTGCGGTATTATCGCACGGCTATACGCAGCGGAGAGGGCCAGAAGCACATAGGAAACGGATATCTGGAGCACTTGCGCACGAACAGGGCCAGGCCAATAAAGCCAGAAAGCCAGAATGTCAGGGAATCGGGCAATCGGACCGAGCCTGGCCCAGACCAAAAGCAAATATGTAATTGGCCGGGCCGCCAGACACGAAGGTGCGCTGGTATCACGTACTCCTCGGCATCGCAGAGTCAAGCTCAAAATGCATCGACACGATGATTTATTTGCATTGCAAAGCCCAAGAACATTTCACGGCGCGAAAAGGGGGCAGCTTGGGCTGGAATAGCCAGGGATTTCGCGTGTAATTAATAAGAGTTGCATTTTGTTGCAACAGCTTATTAAAACAGTATAGATTAACTACAGCGCCACCTGTGCCACAGAATCTGTGGAGTAGTTTCCCAATTGCTATAACTTTTTCGCAGTGTTTTGCGCAGCGAGGGAAATCCAACACGTAGCCCCAGCCAATTTTCCGAACAACTTAATTGAATTGGGCTGCGGGGTGGTGCCGCGTCCAACGCCTCGTATACGCAATTCCAGGTCTTCCTCGCCGTCCGGCGTTCTCATTTGCATTTCGCATTCTGCACGCACAGCCAGCCGTCCCATAGATCGACCTTAGATGAATAAAGAACGCCTACTTAACGCTCTAGGAATATTCAGGCACTCCCAGGAGGAGGCTTCACCTTTAGCATTTTGCCAGCGACCAAGATATTCGTTCCCGTTTCGCAATTAAAGTTGGACTTGTGGAGTCCACCGAATGCAACGCCCAGCGCCAAAGCCGCGCTTGCGGATCCACCCAAGACAATTGCATTTGACATTTAGGCAGCTGCAACTGCAACTGCAACTGGCAAGCCAGCGGAGAAACCAATTTTAGAGCGTCAGGGATTCAGCCGATTCGCTTTTGTTTCAACTCGCTCGCTGCCATAATCCAGCCAAGACTCGATCGCTCTCCGCCGCTGGAGCCGCTGGAGCCGCTGGAGCCGCACCTTTGTCGGCCTGTCAAACTGGAAAACTGGCCAAGAGCACTCGCCCAGCCGTTTTGACAATTTACCACCAACTCGGTCTCGGAATCAAGCCGCCTTCGAAGTTGAAGCCCAAGCCTGAGTTGGATTCCAATTCTGATTCGCATTCGCATTCGGATTCGGATTCGGACGTCTGACCATTTGTATAATTGGCATCTCTAATTTTTTGCTGGAATCCCCAGCCAGTGGCTTATTATGGAGCTGCTAGATAGCCGCCAGTTGGTAGCTGCTGCTGCTGCTGCTGGCTGGAAAATTCGCGATCGGCGAGCGGTTCTTGTGGCGTGAGTAATCGGAAAGCGGAGCGCGTTGCATAAATATCGAAAAGGCGCAAGCGGGGCATGGGAAATGGGAAAAATAGGAAAAACTGTGCGCCATAATGAAACTGGTTTCTGGTTTTGGTTTTGGGCCGCTCCAAGAATTACACGCACACAGATACCTACTACAGCGATCAGCGTGAGCCAGTGTTGCCATAATGCCTGTCATAAATTCTCCAAATTACCCAACATGTCGCACTTCGGGGCCACAGCCAATGTCGAGGGGCTCTTGGCCAAGAGCTGGCTGGACTGATTGCAAATTGTGTGACAGCGGGGTCCGCTGCACGTAAATTGAATTTATGTACTTGCCCTCCGTGCGCCGTCAGCCGCAGGATTAATTGTTTGCACAAGCTGGGCTTTTGTCTCAGTGCATTCGTCAGTCGGAGCAACGCGCTCCACCGTCAACT